TATACTCAACATGTTACTCTATGAATAACTGCAGGAGAACAAATACTCCTGATAACAAGGAAACATCGAAGTCCATCAAAATACACACGAACATCCTTGACTTTATAAGCAGAATCGCAGTTATTTAATTATAAGCAACCTTTTTTTTAATGGAATCAGATGTGACGGTATATTAAATTATTATCGGATCTTTTTATCTGCCGACTTTGATCTTTCTGTGTTCCGATTGCTTGTTAACTCTTTTTCCAAGCAGGCGTTGTGTTGCGGAGCAGAATTTCCACCAACTTCAATCAGCTCCCGAGATGTGCGGTTTTTTTTTGATGAGGAGATGAGACAGTTTCTGAACAAACATGAACGTGATTTGGGATGAGCCCAGTTAGAAATTCTAAAGTCTGCGTCACACTGATTGACAACAGAGCCTCAGTCAATGGGTGGTTGCGTACAATGATGCCAATTGACAACATTGATCAAAAGATCAGTTGGCCAACTTGGCCATTTAGTTTCCCTACTCCAACAACTGAGTATACTCACAGGTGTGCTTCTTACGCTTAGGATTTCTATACTTGCAATTCCAATACAATGCCTTACAATTTACATTTATACCTTTAAGGCCCTCCGTGGTCGTGCTCCTCCCGAACTCTGCGACCTGTTAAACCTTCACCAACTTGTCCGCTCCCTCTGCTCCACAGGCACTGCCCTGCCTGCTCCACCATCGGAGTCAGGCCTTCAGTGCTTCTGCCCCATGGATGGAACTCCATCCCGGAGCCCCTCCACCTCATTCCCCCCCCCCCATTTGCGGCCTTCAGGGCCAGTCTGAAGACCTTTCTTTTCCACCATGCCTTCGGTCATCTTCCCTCCTCCACCCTCCTTGCTCTCCATCCCTCTCCGATCCCAACCTGGGAGCTCGGGTGCAAAACCCTCATTGCGCCTTGGGACGTCCTCTAGAAGTGCCAGACACTGTATAAATACAATATGTTGTAATATACATGGTCAGGGAGACGTCTCAAAGCACTTTACCCTCCCAGCTGGGCGGCTGAGTCAGTCAAACAAGTTCCAGCATTTGACTTAGCATTGCATAAACAATCACTACACTTTAAAATAAGTTAAAGTCTGAAATGCTTTGAAACCTTCTTACAAGGTACGGCGCTGTATCAAAAGCAAGTATTACATTTTAAAATGTAAAAAAATTTGGGGGGAGTGGAGGGGGAGAGCGAGGAAAGGCCATTTAGCCCAACAAGCTATATTATTATTAACATAAAATTCCACTCAGCCATGGTCCCTTTGCAAATTCTGTCCAACTCTTCGGAGGAAGGTCTATGAAAATTCCACATCTTTACTCCATCCTATATTTTACCAATTGATCTCAGGCTCACATCCCTCAAAGTCATTTCGAACTGATAAAGAAATATAATACCTGCCTTCGATTACATCAAAATGTCCCAAAACAATTGTAGATTTGCTTTGAGGTTTAGTGAATGCAGCAACCAATTTGCATCAGCAAACAAGATGAGTCATCAATGAAGCTGAATATGATCAACAATAAAAACCTTAACCTTCTTTCCTAGGTTTTGTTTTGAGTTGAAGGGCAGTGACAGAAATAATATCTCTGTAGGTCATGTAGCTTTCAAGGTTCAAAATTCCATCCAATCGTAAATGCTTAAGGACATTTTGCTTTGAAATTTGTAATAATAATAATCCTTACATTTGATATTATCCCTTATCATGTCGTCGAGACGTCGCAAACCTTTTACAGGATTTTACACAATTTATGTTTTGCTCTAGAATTATGCAAAATTCTTAAATCCAATCTTGATTTGGAAGCTGGTTTTCCATAGTTCTTTAAAAATACTGGCTTCCAAATTAAGATTGAACTGAAGAATTTTCCTACCTGAACTTACAATTTTCAAGACAAAACAGTCTTACTGTTTTATATGTTTTATATGCAGATATTATATGTTTTTTCAAGACAAAACAGGCTGTAAGACTGGGCGGAATTTCAGGGAATCATTTGGGAAGTAATCTCTGTGACTTTGAAGAACAGGCAGAGAACAGACCATTGTGACAAACTGCAAAACTGAAATGCATCTCAACGTGTGAAAGTACTTTCTACTGATTAATTATTTTGTTGGCACTCTTTAAAGTTTAATGCATGAATTCCTTCTTCTCCTGCAAGTGCGTTTCCCATAATGTTCTTTCAGAGCAGTCACACTGTATAAAATACCAATGTGAAATAAGAATCATCTGAACAAAATATCTGCCAAAAGCATTTTAAAAATGACAGATCCACAAAGCACGTGACATGTGGACGACAATGAGATGCAACTCACACTGAGGGAATGCAAAGAACCACTTTGATTGGTGTATTCTTTATAGAAAATACATAACACAAAATCAGTGGGTTTAAAAATCATCCATGTGAAATAGAAGCCTATTATAACTTGATAGTCAAGGCTAGCCTTGTAAGGGAGGTACAATTGCCAGTCAATGTGTCCGCACAGTGATATCACTAATCACATGGCTGGCCTGCTTTCTGTTCGTTTGGATATTTTGTAAAATACCAGGCTCCACATTGCAATCCAGTTAGAAAATAATCCACGTTGTAACTAAGAGGCACGTGATAATGGGGTAATGGGGTTCTACTGCTATAGTTTGGCTAAACATGCTGATGGGTTTCCTTGTGCATCAGGCACATCCAGGTCATGTTTACAAATATCTTATCCGAATTAGAATTCTAAAACGTTTTATTTGGGCCACACGATTGCTCGATGAATATTTAGCATTGTCGTCCTGTTATACTGCCTCAGGTACAAATGTAGCCCTTGATCTGAATATGGCCCAGCAAACAGGTGGACCAAGGGGCAAAACAGACAGGAAGTTAACTGGAAAACAGACTGCCTGGGAGACTGACTGGGGAGAAGTAACCTGGTATTCCATACCATTTTTAAAGATGATAATAATAATCCTTGCATTTGATATGACGCTTTCCACGTCTTCTAGACGTCTCAAAGCGCTTCACAGAATAGCCTGTAAAGTGAATTGACTGTATATTTGTGGCCAAATGCGGCCAATTGCGTACAGCAGTGTTCCACAAACAGTCGTGGATTGAAATGACCAATTTATTATTGATTTTTTTTGAGGAATTATTATCAGGCATGTGGAATAACGAAACTTGCCCAAGGTTTCACCCTGCCGGGAATCAAACCCAGGTCTCTTGCTTGCAAAGCAAGTGCTCTAACCACTGAACTACCGGACAAATAAAGATAAATGATAATAATCCTTGCATTTGAATTAGCACCTTATCCCGTCGTCAGAACATCTCAAAGCTCTTCACAGGATTTACTGTAGTGAGCAGCGACCATGTACTTTGTTGGCATTTGGGATTTTATTGTTATCTGGGTTTAATTCCAGTTGGAAGCATGTAAATAGCAATCGTCAACCGTATCTATAACAGTAATCATTGATAAGGGTGAAAAGTCATTAAGAAGAAATTTGTGGGTCAGCCTTGCTCAGTGGTAGCACACTCGTTTCTGAGTCTGAAGGTTGTGGGTTCGAGCCCCACATTAAGGACTTGGAATCCCTAGCCTAAGCTGATACCCCAATGCAGTGCTGAGGGTGTGTAGCATTGTTGGAGGTGCCGTCCTTCAGATGAGACATTAAAACAAAGTCCCATCTGCCCTTTTCAGGGGACATTAAAGATCCCTTAGTACTATTCAAAAAGAGAAGGGAGTTTCTCCCGACATCCTGTTCAGAAAATCCCCCAAATAAAATTGGTCATTCACATCATAGCTGTTCGTGGGACATTGTTGTGCATCCACAAATCCACTTTACAGTACAGTATATCCTGTGAAGTGCTTGGAGTCATCTTGACGAAGTGATAGGGCGCTATATCAACTGCAAGGATTATTTATTTCAGACTCTGCGCCTCCCATGTGCTGCACAAAAAGAATTACCCTTATTATGTTTTAAATCAATACTGCACAAACGCTCAATTCTTTATGTTTTATCCTATTCAACAGCACTGGTAGCTTTTACACAAAGGCCATGGTTCTACCTGGGCAGAAGCTGTGTTGCTTAATGTACAGCTAATTTTATGTGAAATAGGGGCTAAAATTGATCTACACTCAAGGAGGCAAAAATGTGACCTTTTATTTCCAAGAGCGCTAAATCTATGAATCTTAATACAGAGATCTATTCCTTTCAATTCCTATAATTTATTTGCAAATAGTTATTGGGATTCTGATCCTATGTATAATTAGCTGATAATTTTTCTGCACTGAATTATTTTACTGCAGAGCCGCTATGGCAGTCAGTCACATTCTGTGGCAGTAATGTTTCTGATAGGTGGAGTTACTGTGCTTTTAAATGTAATGCAGATGACACAGACTTGCGAGACCCGATTTCAGTTTCAATTGCGCTAATTATTGCTAGCACCTTGCTTTTTAAACCTTCTGAAGGCATGGGAGTATGGCCCTCCATAATTATTTTGTTCTCCTTAAATAAAAGGAAACGTTAATTATTAATGGCACAAAAAAGGAGGGTAAATAAAAAAGGCATGATTAAAACCCAATGCTGTATTAAGGATGTTTTAATTAAGTGAAAATGCTAATGTTGTTACCCTAAGTAGATCAGATTAAAACGATCCTTACTCTGAGTTATTGTAACTCATATTTTATGTTGCATTGCCTGTGACACCTAGAAAAGATTCACAGAAGAGATACAGCGGGGCCCATAAATGTTACAAAATAAATAACTCTTGTGACGGAGAATAAGAATTAATTTTCAGCTTCTTTTAATCATCATGGCGCTCTCTCTCTCTCTGTCTTTCTCTCTCTCTAACATTACATTTGCAATGGCGTACTGTGTGACAGTTGTTTTAATTTCAAAGAAACAGGGACACTGGCAAATTGATTTCTAGGCAAATCAGTGTAGTCTTGAATATTTGGGGGAGTATCTGCATTTCAGTTGACAGTAATTAGCATTAACTAATAAAGAATACTCACATTGCCACTCCAAAGAATTCATGTCTCGCTGTTGAGATGACAATGTCTGCCATGCACAGGACTTTGAGGTAGTTGTCTTTCCTGGCTTGGTAGCCCCAGTGCGAAACAGAGGAACCCAATTCCCTTCTGGCTTTGGCAAAGATGTCTTTAATGAGAAAAAATTATTCAACGATTCAATATGGTGCAAAAATTAACTCATATGTCAGCTTTGCTTCGTCTGAAGTTCAGGTTAATTAGCTTTTGCTTATTTTATAGAAGTTCTCCGAGTTGTTTGCTTGTATAATCAAGGCAAGCAAGCAGAACCGAATGCTGAGGTGCAAACGCTGACAGAAGCAAGACCCGCCTCACCATCCTCCCCTCTATGAAAAAGCCAACTGTCTGCTTCATAAAACTCGCTTAGCAGACAGTGAAACAAAATGGACTGTAAAGTTCGTTAAATGAAAATATTAAAAAAGAATTAAGCTAATGGAGATAAAATTAAAAGAAATGAGGCAACAAAAACATCACACCAAAAATGGCATCACTCTGACAGCTAAGTTTCCTAATGACGGACTGCATTCGGAAAAATTAAATGGCATTCCATGCTTAAATTTCTTTGGAAAGTAATGATCCATGAATGATGCTCACTCCAGGCATTTAGAAGGGAGGAAAAAAAGTGCTCAACAACAACAAAGAGGGCTCTGAGACTAACGAAGGGGCTTGCAACACAGAGAGGATGTTTTTTTTTCTAGGGGGGAGTGGGAGGGTAAAATCAGCAGGACTGGGCTATTTCCCACCTCTCTCTTGAATGCAGCATTACCTGGCACCTCATTAAAGGTCTCGCCAAGAACAGACACTTGAAAGCTTAGTCCCTTTTCCTTCAGCTTCAGCAGAGTCTTGAAGAAGACCTCGGGGTCTTTGTCATGTTCCCTTGAAACAGAAACAGAGTTCAGGCTTGTGAGTGGGCTTTGCAAGTTAAGTCAGACAGTGATTGCTAGATCGTGATGCATATCTCCTGCCCCCCCCCCACCACCTCCTTTTTCATCCAGTCTTATAGTCCTTTAACTCAACAAACTGCATTTAATACTGTGTAGCCCCGGTCACATAAAACAACAACAACAAGATTTCATTTATAAAGCGCCTTTCACGTCAGGAGGACGTCCCAAGGAGCTGCACAGTTGGGTCATGACCCGAGCAGGGGGGGAAATGGTCAGGGTGAGGGGAGGGAGCGAGGAGGGGGGAAATGGTAGGGGAGGGATGGGAGGGAGCGAGAAGGGGGAAGAGAGTCGAGAGGGGAGCTGAAGGCTCGGTCAAAGAGAAAACAACATAATTCCACTTAACCTGAGCGACTCTTAAGAATAGCATGAATTTTAGTTGATTTTTATGTCAATTTTATGTTAATAGATTTTTAAACCAAACCTTTAAACCTTGAAACGCCAATTTGTTGATCCTAATACCAGTGGCAGCGGCTGGGTGTGGGGAGGAATTGACCCAGAGGAGCTGTTGAGCTTTGCGCTGTGAACTGGAGTGATTAACATGCAGTTGAGATGAGAATTACTGAAGCACTGGGGGTTAATGACTGCGTGTCCACGTATTTCCCATTCTGTGAAGCACTTTGAGACGTCTCAATGACGTGATAAGGTGCTAAATCAAATGCAAGAGTTATTGTTATTGTTTATTCCCTCGTACCTAGGGCTCAGCACCTTATCCCAGCTGGTTCACCTGATGAAGTCAGCCTCATTTAATGTTTTCCACCTGCCCTTCCTTTGCCCCTCTGCTCGGCTAACTGAGGCTTGCTGTGTTCACATATCCTCTCCCCCAACAGCTTTGTTCCACCATTGGTGGCCAAGCCTTCAGATCCCACGCTCCTAACCTCTGGAACTCTCTCCCTCTACCTTTCCGTCTCACCCCTTCTTTATCTATCTTCTCACCTCATGATGTACCACTTAATCTCTGCCTATGGTCACATCTCCGACTTCCTTGCTCAGCGACTAACCCCCCCTCACACCCACACACCTCACCAGGCAATGTAAAGCACTTCTACTGAAGGGTGCTCGATAAATGCCACATGCTGTTGTAAATAAAAATACCCTCCCCAAAACCCACAGCAAAACCTCCACCAGAGGTTCTCCACCAACCCCACTTCCCCCCAAAAAAATGATAGAAAGACAAAAAAAATTTAAAAGTAATTAAAATTCAATAACATATTGAAATATGAAACTAATGTGAATTATCAGCCTTTCCCTGTTTAAGGTCTTTGTTTATCTGTTTTGTACATTCGTATGTTTACTCCTCCGTCCAGGGACTCACCTGCTCCAAACTCCAGACCCCTATCACACTAGTCCTCGACAGGCTGCACTGACTCCCTATCACAGATGGACCAACTTCAAGATCCTTTCGCTCACCTACAAATTGCTTCGTACCCTGGTAGCCCCCTACCTCTCTGACCTACTTACTCCCCACCCGCCACCCGCTGCCTCCGCTCGGCTGGTTCTGGCCTCCTGCTTGTCCCTCGTCCCCTCCGCTCCACCATCGGTGGCCGGGCTTTCAGCGAGTCGCTACCCCCTGAAACTTTGGAACTCTCTCCCTCAAGTTAACCATTCGTACATTTACTAACCAGGAAGATGGTGAAAGCCTGGTTCTGTATCAGTATTTGACAGATGCAGACGCTGAGTGCTATATCAAAGCTGATCTACATAACCGGGCTACACATCCCTTCACAAACCAACACATGATTCACTATTAGGTGGAGGCAGTAAAACATGTTAACAGCAGTTTGTCCCGAGGGGCGGGTGACTGCCATTCATTTCGGTGAAAATAAAGCCCCACCGGCTCCCCGAAGAAGTTTGCTGCCTCCAGTCTGTACAGAGGGCAAAGGCAAAATGCAGACAGCTCGGAGTTGTCTGATGTGGACTAAAATACAATGAATTAAAGTATAATTTCAGAGCAATGACACTGTATTTATTGCCTCTTCGTTCTCGCGACCGTTTCCTTAAGAGGGAAATGCTCGAGTAAAACACCTCCGATTTGAATTACAAATAAGGGTTTCAATAGATTTTTTTTTGAAAGTCAAGCGCTAATTAGTGCAAGATGGATTCACAGTTTTATTACACAGCTCTCTACCGCAACATTGATCAAAACCACAATCGGAACAGTATTAACTTTTTATCCTAGCACTTGTCCTGGAACATGCGAAATTCACATTTACCCTTCAGAGTGCATTTTTTCTATCTCCTGGACTGTCCGCCATTTCAAAATCCATCTCAAACGTTTTGAAGTCCTTAAATACTGCAACCTTGGGTAGCATCGTCTCCCCCTCCCCGCCCTCCCACCCCACTTCCAAAAAAAAACCTGCAGACTTTTCTTTCGTAAACCAAAGTGAAAACTCATATTTATTGCATTCGTGGTCGTGGCGAAGGATGGTAAACAAAATGCTATCATGCCCAATGGAAGGTTAAAAGATCAAACTCGGAGCCTAATCTGCTTCAGAAAATACAAAACTAATTATTTTTTATAGAGCAAGAACATCAGCGTTTACAAGGACTGTGGATTTAGACTACAATAGCTTTTCGCTGAAGGTCAAATGTCTCTGTTACATTTTAATAATAATCTAAAGCAGCACCTCTAACTATACCATTTCTGCGGGGTTCATATTAGGCTCCTAAGGTGTGGTATTAACAGAGCTTATTTATTTTAATTTCAGAGGCTCTTATTTGCCCATTCCCTTGTGGTAAAGCTGATTTCCATGATGATTCCCTTCTTAATTTTAATACCCTTTTTAACTCATCATATAGACATTAGAATTTTCCAGGAAATAATGGAACTCCCGTGCAGGAAGAAAAAAACAACTGAAGGGATGATGGTAAACTAGCTTTTGCAATTAATTGGTGTATGGCAGTGCACGTGTCTGATAACAGAATTTTTTCACCAAGGAAAGCGAGGTTAATTAATGTATGAGCTGCATCTACCAAGATGCTGAATTTAGTATTTTTCCCCCATGCTGTCTTAAGTGCCTTGATTTCCCAGTAATGACCTAGTTCTTCTAATGAGTAACATTAACCCCTGGCTGTATCTGTCCAGGACTTAATTGTCAACTGAAGCTGAAATAGAGGGAGTTTGGCGATCAGCAGGTATGTGGCACATTAACACATGCCATCTCAGGTCCTAATAAATAAATCTGTTGCCATGGAAATGGTAACATTGTCTGTGTTTGCCTCTCCTCACCTTTTGAATAATGCTCTATTGGTCCCACGAGTGGAATCGGTGGGGAGGGTGGGGTGATGAGGGGCGGAGAGGTAGGAGGAGGTGGAAATTAAGAAATGACAGAATATAAAGAGGAATAATAGCGATACCAAAAAACGGGTCATTTTCAAGGAGATGGGATCGGACGTGTTTAAAAAGAACACATAGAAGTAGTTCATAGATTTATGTGTGACGAGGAATATTTTCTAACATTTTTTAAAAATGTCTGTGTACTTCAACTTTGTGTATCTACCTTTACCTATGTTTTTACCTCTCTCCTCTAAACCCCTCCACTGCAACCCAACCCCCCCCCCCACCCCCCCACACACACACACAGATACACACACCTCCTTTCTGGTCCCTTGTATCCCTTAATTAACAAACCTGACATTAAAGTAACCAGCTAGAAAACGCAGGGAACCTGGTGACATTTGAAAAAGTGTTTTATCATGAAATTATCCCAACAGAGTCCATCCTGCAAGATAACATCATCATCAATACTCCATGCATCCCCCAACAGCTCAAGCACAATATTGCCTGCCATTTATCTGTTGTCAGCATAGGTTACAAACTGTAATCCTTGACTGCCTTGGAATTAGAATGTCTTTGATGTCCCCACAAGAGTTTTTGCCTGAAGGCTTTACCAATGCTCTGCAGCTCAATGTTTATTCCTCATAATCTTCCTCTCATCTCCAGGCTACCGGTGACAGATGGTTATGTGCACACAATAGTATTAGAGTTTGATATTTTTTGCTCTCTATACAACAAATATCTATCAGATGTGGGCCAGAAAGCTGACATAGCTCACTTAGGTAATGGCAACAAACAGCTTGGCTTGATGTTTTTGTCATTTTTTTCTGCTCTCTGCTTGTTTTCGCTCTAAATTCTCGAAGGTAAAGTACATTAACCTCGCTGACTTTTTATCAGAAATGTACACCGACGGAGCAGTGAGCTACCATCGTTTTATTACGACTTTTGGTTTGTAGAACTATATTAAATGTCAATGTACAGTTTTTCCCCATATGTTAATATCTCCCCATCCACGTACACGAGCCGTATGGGAGACGGGAGCACTAGGGCAAAGCTGGGGAAATGAATAACTCGTGCTGTATATTAGATTTGTGCTTGTTTCCAAACTGCATGTTCCTCAAAGCATTGCTATACCCCCCTCTGATTTCAAAGGATGCCCTAAACAGAAGCTATGCTTCCACAACCCTCTCAATCACCGCTGTTATTTAAGAGTGTATTAATCTCGTGCTGGAATTGCTGCTTGCTGCGGATCTATGTTTGTTGTGATTAAAAATTCTGTCCTAAATACTACGTGCGCACTTATATATACATCAGTGATCCAGGGGCTGCAGGTATAAGTGGAAACGTTTGGCAGCTAAATACATTTAATTATTTTTAGAAGAAGTGAAATATGGAAATACTGACTTAATTTTTTTTTTAAAAAATGAAATCACATTATGGCGTGATTTCTAAACTAATTCCATGACAATTTATCCCCCGCTAAGGCTTTATGCTATGTCACCAGAAATGTCACATTTTGTTTCTTAAGGCTCTGCAGTCAAAGATGAAAATCCCTTTAGATACCGGCTGCTGCAGATCAGCTATGAAAGCTTCTGGAGTTTTAATGTACTGGAAGTCAAATCCGTGTAAAGACGATTTACTTTGCCGGTGTGTGTACTTATTGCTTCACCTGTAAACAGTTGCTCCATGAAAATCTGACCCACTGATTCTCTGAGCATCTCTTCAAAAACAGCTCATAATCTCGGATGAAGCCAACTCTAATCAGGCCACATGCAGATTAAACAAACTAGGAGATAACTGAAACAAAGTTCATGTTCACCACTGGAAGATTAACGAGCAGTTTCACCACCCCCCCACTCCTTCTCTCAACCCCCCCCACCATTTCCCTTAATCCCAATTTACTTCCTTCCCATAGCACTCAAAGATGAACTCTAAGAGTGTATGTTTGTGGTGATTATCTGGGCAGTCGATTTCTACTTGGTTTAGAAGAGATTACAAGATACAGCTTTGTCGGCGATGATATCTGGGACATGCTTTGCAAAGTTAGCGATGTGGCAAGGTTACCGCTCGGAAAGTACTCACCACCTGTGAGGCCAGACAATATGTAAAGGCTTATCCTCGGCTGCCACATTGCTCTTTCCTTCCAAATTCCCACCCATCATGCTGCAGGGGTTAAAGGCCATATGTTCCTTATCTCTTTCTTCATGATAAGCAATTGGATCTTCAGTCTGTTTGATACAGTTTGGCTCTGTCAGTGGTTCTGCCTGGATTAATAGTCTGTCGTGTTTCCTGACGAGCTGTTTCTCAACATATCCAGGTTCCAGACTTGAAAGCCTTTCCTCCATCAATCCATCTCCCTCTTCACTGTTTCGTAACACAAACGGACCCTTCGCTGTTTCGTCACCTTGAAGACCTGTTGCCTGCTGACTGTGGCGAGTTTTATGTGCTGGCAGGAATCTGTAACAGCAACAACAACAAATTATATTTGTATAGCTCCTTTCACATCGGGAGGTCGTCCCAAGGCGCTGGACAATCAGGGATTTTAACGAGAGGTTAGATTGCAATGTGATTGTCATACAAGCAGCGAAGCTGAAACGGAGCATTGCACAAACAGCGAGCAAGACACCAGGGTAGGCAACGGGGTGAAAAATGCCTAGTTTCAAAACCAATCCGATTAGATGAGATAATTATCACATCAGATCTGTTATTGGAAAAAGTTCCTCATAACAGACTATACCTACGGATCATTGTCATTTCTAGGTTCGGGGTGGGGGGATTAAAGGAAATTACTATGGAATATTACACACACACACACATATGCACACACCAACAATCCCAACCTCTAAACAAGATAAGATAAACATCATTGGGAGCATAAAAACATAAGAATTGTTTGACGAAAAAAACACCCTCCAGTTCGCCTTCGGGCGAACTGAATGCAGTCGCATTCATGTGTCGTGTCCCAAACTATATACTGTATCCCAAGATATTATTTCCTAAAATAAACTTATAAATTTGCTTTTGAATGAATTAACACTTTCTGCTTCCACCGTCTCCCTCAGAAGCCTGTTCCATACACTTACTATTCGCTCACTGAAATAGTGTTTGCGCAGATATGTTTTGAATTTATCACCCCCCCCACCCACCACTTCAATTGTAGGCCATATAGCATTTGACTATAATGTACTGTCCCCGGACTAAAGCTGTGTGAATAGCACCTCCCGGAGAAGTTTGGAAAGTCCAAGGCTGGCGCTACTTTGTGAGAGGACCACAGACATCCCAGTCCACTTCACAAGGAGTTAACGCAGAACGGTTTGTTGTTATGGAGCGTGTTAATAACAGCAAAGCTCCGTCGTGTTAATCTTTTCATTTCAGCATCCTTGTCCACAGAGATGGAAGAGTCTCATATTTAAAACACTCTGTTAAAGATTACCGCCAGGCTTGCATCCAGCAGATGAAATTCTGTAGGATAAGGGGAAACTGCATAAAAGAATTTAATGGACTGGCATTTCTGCTGAACTGATTATGTGGAAAAATCTGCTTATGTTTTTTGACTGTATTCAAGCAGTGGATTGTAATGTGATACACAAACTATTTCACTTGAGATGCAAAACAGGTTGGTTTGTCATATAGCTCTGTTTGCTGGTATTAAAAAGAATGCATTTTCTGGAGAAATGTTTGGTTAGACAGCTGCACACTCTCTTTTTAGGATTAGTCCCAACATTTATATATTACTGGAAAAGGTACTTAGGGAAAAGTCTGCACTGTGTCATCGTTACAATAAATAATGTGGCAGTCCTTTATCTGCAATGTGTATGGAATAAGGAGTCATTCACAATCTTCCAGATTTGCGGATGTGTATAAGACAGGGAGGGAGGGAGGGATGGGTAGGGAAGGGAAGGGAGAAGTGGGGAGGAGAGCAGTCAAAAGGTTTAATTCTCTTCATTCGGGACAAACGTTGATAAACTTGTTTTTTTTTTAAAAAAAGCTGGTCGTTTCGAAATTGGTGGTGTGTTTGTCAATGGCTTTTGTCGGGTTCCACAAGTTCACAGCAGACACTGTCTATGTTCCTTCACAAACCGCTTTTGAGGGTGCGAGACCCAGTTTCAGTCAGAAAGTAGGTAGAAAGTTAGTAAAGAAGCAATTAATAATATAATAATAATCTTTGCATTTGATATAGCGCCTTACCACGTCTTTGAGACGTCTCAAAGTGTGTTGTCAGCACCTGGTGTGTGTGTGGGTGTGTGTATAGTGTGCCGGAGTGCATTTAGTTTGTAATGAACTTTTTCGCTCCTTTTTTGAACTGGAGGAAGCTAATAAAATAGTAAACGGAGGGAGTAGGCTCGATGAGATGAATGTTCCTGTATTCCTGGCTTAAGTTGCATCAAAGCTACTTGGAAAGCTGTTTGAAAAGAAGCGGGAGAGCTGGCGCTGCTTTGGTTTTAGTCACTGTTGATATGCTTTTCTCTCTCCCTGTGTTTGTGAACTCCCTTCGCTCCACCCACTTTGATATAAACACAGCAGTTTCACCCAAAGGAGGGAGAAACTCTTGACTGGTTCAAGCTGTATGACAGAGCAGATGTGCAGCATAAACAGTGTGACTGTCGGCCTCAGCAATCGCTCCAAGGCAGCACCAAACAAATGCTCGCTAACCGCGGAGTTCAATATGAAATTTAAAATATTTTAAAGAGGAAGACAGATTGACCCAAACAAGCAAACGGGGGTTACAGCCAATGACAATTCTTTGAACGTTTGATATTTAAGAGGTTACGGACTGTAATGGAAAGTTTCCTCCAAGTTTTTTTTTAGGGTTCATTTTATCAGCCTTGAAACACCGAAGAACTGAGTGAATGCACTGAGGATCTTAAGTCAAGTCTGTTGCTTTCGTGACTAAGTCACTGGGGATGGTAAATGGCTTCAATTGTTAAAACTACATGAACAGAGAAAAGCTTATGTTTTCTAAAATTCTAGCATTTCATATAACATTTCTATTGCAGGCAAAGAAAATTATCATCAAGTATTGGTAATGTTAATTGCTTTTGCAATAATTGTCGAGAAAGGATTTTCAGTATATCTGAACATGCGATTTTTCAGGCATTTTCAAACGTACATTGTACACCGCAACAGTTATCAAGCGTTCAAGCAGGTTCACTGCCTGGTGCCAAATCATTGCAGCAATATGATCTTGTTAAATATTTTACATGAAGAATGCCTGATGCAAAAGCATTGATAGTAATTATACATCAGGGATATCAAGAAAAAAAACAATTTTAGTACTGAGAAGAATGCAGAAGAGACCTCGTTCAAAATTTGTGGATTGCAAGCCGTTATTTCTTGCACACGCACTTTCACACGCACACACACACACGCATATATCATATAACTGAAGAACATCGATAACAATTGCGTATATATATATATACATCCCCGCCACCCCGCCACACCACATACATAAAATATGCTTTTCAACAGTGTCATTACTGCACACCATCACTTTGACTACGTGCAGCAATTCACAGCTCAGAACGCAGAACTCCTCATTGCAATTCTCTCCTGAAAAGCTTACAAACCCCCTTCTCAAGTCTTACTGAAATCCATCAAGCAATCAGCTGTGGGTCAGCAAATTGACAGTAAACCGTTTTCATGAAGGATTGGTTAGTCAGCATTTTTTTTAATAAAAAAAATTCCCCAAAGTTGGACTTCCAACATTTCTGCCCTGAAAAGACTCACGCAATAAACGCTGGATTCATCTTACTGAATAAATTAGAATCAGAATGGTTCACTTCAGACACATTTTTGCAGGAATCAGACCTCTTCAGATAGGTGGAAACCCATCACCATGCTTAAGATTCTACGAACCAGACAGAGGACCATATATGTATGGCATGGAAATGTCTCTGCATCTGTATTGGAATGCGTACTGTCTCTCCAGAGCAATGCACACTGCTTTCCTAATTCTGGAGAGTATTAGGTGCAGGATGGCAAGAGCCAAAAGCTTGGAGGACACCAGAGTGTGTGTTGGGGTAGTTGTTGGGAGTTCAACCGGCTAAAATTACAAAGCTTGTTATTGAAAGCAGTGTTATTGATACAAGGGTCTCACTCCTTGTCCAGTTACAGTTACCCAAACATACAGTCAACCACATATATAAACAAAATGCATACCGCATTTCTACCTCTCCGCCCCCCATATATAAATAATAATAATAATAATAATCCTTGCATTTGATATAGCGCTTTTCACGTCAGGAGGACGTCCCAAAGCGCTTCACAGAACACACTGTAAAGTGAATTGACTGTATATTTGTGGGCGAACGCGGCAGCCAATTGCGCACAGCAATGTCTCACAAACAGTCGTAGATTGAATATGACCAATTTATTATTGTTTTGTTTTTGGAGGGATTATTATTAGGCTCTGTGTGGAGTAAGGAAACTTGCCCAAGGTTTCGCCCTCTGCCTGGAATTGAACTCAGGTCTCTCACTTGCAAAGCGAGTGCTCTAACCACTGAGCTACAGGACTCCACAAATATACTAACCTTTGATACTTGTCTGGCAAATTGGGCTGATTTTATTGCACAAGGTGTTTGTTTGACTATTTGGAAAGAGATACACAGTGAGGTCTCTGGCTATTTTTCCCTGGAGTTTTATTTATGGGGAAAAAAATCTGGAATCTAAACCAGGATAAGGAAACTAGCCAGGGGTGGGGTAATTTTGAGCAAGGAATGCCTTAATGTTTCAATCATGTTTTGCGTCACTCTGCCTATGGATCTTCCAAACGGCAGACCTTCAATTAATTTCTCAGCTATCTTGCTGCATTTCAACCGTATCTCTTCACAAACCCAATCCTCAATCTTCACCGAACGTTTCACTTTCTTTTGGAATTTTTTTTTAAAGTGACATCTATTTAGGCAAGTCACAAATACTTTTTGCCAAGCGATGAACAATGTATCATTAATATTTATTGTGCTGGCTCAAACGATCAGACCCTGTTTACATTTATACTAAAATGCATCAATATAATACTATGCGAGTTGGGCTCCATTAACAAGCTCTGGAATGTGACTCCTTTCATTGCACTCAAGTCATTTTGCGGTCAAGGTCAATATTTTTTTGCAAGGATTTAGAGATTCTTTGCATGTGACTTGCACCATTACAGCAGGACGGCAAGAGCTCCACTTCAATATTCAATGTGGTTTTTCCTGCACATAGAAGTCACCAGAGAATGGAAGTACCTGGAATTCCGGTTTCTTTCTTGTGCAGAAGTTCAAGGGTACAATTACCGGTCACTTGCAGAGCTAGGGATCTGACGGAACCAGCCGCAAGGCTCTAGGAAACCTCTAACCTGCCTTTTAGTGTGCGTCAATAAAACATTTCTCCAACACTTTCTGTGCTCTCGACAACCAAAGGGGTCAAATGTGAGACATCTGCTTTTTCCACTCAGCTGTACTCTGTTCTGCCAC